TCATCGCGGGGTTGTCTGAGTGTGTATGTCTATAGCAACTTTCAACTCGGGAACCACAAAAGCTAGGAAGCTGAAAATTTGGGAGAATGTTCCTCCCACAAATGTAAATTCGGCCTGCCCTTAATTGCGGGTAATGCGCGCGGCTCTGTAAAAGTTTTAGCGAGGAAAATTATTATCTCGGGAACCACGGAAGCTAGGGAGCTAAAATTTTATAGGTATGTTAACTGCTACGTGCGACCTAGAAAATTTAAATTCAGCTGTCCCGTACCTTAGGGTAACATTTACGGCCCGATGAAATTTTTGGTGGGTAAATTGTTATCGTGGAATCGCGGAATCTAGGAAGCTGAGGTGTTAGGAGGCTATCCCATGCGCACGTACAACCGTTCAGATTTAACTTCAGAGCGGTGAAAATCATTAACAGGCAATCGTTCGGTGGACGGGATTGCACAAAACGCACGAACCGACTGCCCTAGTGTGCGCCGCTATTTATTGGCTACTAAAATAGGGCTTCAAACAAACTAGCATTTTTCTTTCCTGTAATTTTGCTTCTCATTAGTAGTAGCTGTTTATTTTTGAGGTTTACAATGCTTCCTCTGCCTTCCATCTGCTATGCTTTGTTCCAGAAGACCATTTACTGTAGGAGTGCTGACACAGGTCGAAGAAATTCGTATCGAGAACGATGACAGAGCGCGTTCATTGGTGGCAACGCTGAATGCCGATGAACGGAGACGTCTTCAGACAGCGCTAAATGAGCTCGATCAACGAGCTCTTTCGGAGGATCCAGTTGGTATCCGACATCTGTTCTTTTCAGAAGCAGTGCAAGTTTGATTGTTTTTAATAGTTGGAATCAAATATTTTGTCCAACGTGTGAAATTAATTGCCTTTTACAGATAAAGAACTCTCTCGTGCGCAATCGCGGCAGCTGTTTTTGGTGAACTCGATACCATTCATTGGTTTTGGTTTTTTGGACAATTTTATCATGATTCTCGCTGGAGAATATATCGACCGGGTAAGTAATTACTATGACTATAATCGTATTTATATCGCACTGCTCTAATAACATGCTGATCACACTCCCAAAGACATGACTGTAGAAATATCGACACAAAATAAGTCCGTGAATTTTCCTCGCATGTCGTTAGAGAATCGATACCTTGTTAAGTAACTAGGCTAAAGTGGATACTTCTCTTTAATTTTTTTTAAGAAATTGAGGTTTCCAGAAGCGTTTAGAGTTGTAGCACATTCCAACAGCAAGATCTGTCAGCTTATAGACTTGTGAATAACCTTCGCGAAGCAACCTGATGGGGAGTTTTACCTCCTTGGATAAACAGTGTGCAC